CTGGCGGTGCTGGACGTGGCCCGCCGGGCGTGCGACACACCGTCCCGCCCAAAGATTGCCGTGCATGACGCTGAGTCCACAACAAATCGGCCCCACCCAACCCAGCTTGTTTACTTGTTTAAGACCGGACGCCGCACGAACCGCACGGCTAGAGTACACTGGAATGTATGTCCGAGCGACAATGATCGGTGTTTCTTAACTCGCTTTTGTGAGAAAGACATCCTGTGTGCAATGAGTTTAGAGATCGAAGCGCGAGCAAAAGACGGAGAAAGACCAACTAAAATTTGCATTCCACAGTCATCGTACATCACCATTCGATTCGGTCCGCCGTCAGGCATTCCTGCTCCCTGCCCGGGTCCCATTTACGGTGGGGCGCAGGGAGCCGACCGACCAACTTGCCAAACGACTGACGGGAGAGTCGATGCTTTTAGAAAAAGGAGGTGGTAAAAAGAAAACCGTGGGCCACAGCGCTACTGGTGGGGGTGGTGGCAAAGCACAGCTCTGAGGCAAGCGCATGTCAGCCAGTCTCGTTTTTCGAATAAACAGTCCGGCCATTGTGATTCAACGCCCTTCAAATCTTTTCCTGCCACTGATATTGTTGGAAGCAATACGAGAGGGAACAGCGAGGGACACGGGCGGCAGCCACCCCCACTGCCCTGCTGCTAGCGGAGCTCCGCTGTTGTTGCTGCTTATTTTGCGGCGGCTCGTGGACTAAATACGGCTTTTCTGGAACGGGACGACTATTGTCCAAGCAAGCGATTGAGAATGCGGGTCGGGGCGCAGAAACCATAGAAAGGCTAAGGAGCCACCGACGCCGATCTCAACACGACCAAGCCCAGCCCGCAAACTTTGAACGTAATACAACGGCGTCGTGATTCGTGAGGCTGCTGTTTTAGGCGCTCGACGGTGTGCGAGAAAAGAGGGGGAGGGAAAGAGAAAGGCACAAGCGATGCCGGGAAGTGTGCGAGAGGCAAAGATGAAGGGAGGAGCAGCCGAAGGATGTGAGGAGGCGGCGTTGGCGTCGTATCGCCAGAGGCGGGGGAGGCGATGTCAGGCGCCAGGAAACAATTTCTCTGATTGCACCTCATGAGACACAGTGGCAAGGGTTGGGGTGGCTCTTTGGCAGAGGCGCGGCGCAGCGTGCGGTGGCGGGAGGTAGGGGCGGAGGGGAGGCGGAAAGGAAGGGGCAGGCGGGGCGGAGCGGTGCGACCCATTCGATATAAACCGCGTCACGGCCCGGCTAACTTGTAGGCCCGGCGGATGAGGCGTTCCCCGTGAGCCCATATGTACTGCCGCGGGCCACATAACGGCCCACGCCCACGCCCGGCCCCGCCCCGCCCGGCCCGGCAAGGAGCGGCGCAAATGCCATTTCCCCTGACGCATTGCTCGCCGCGTCCGCCCCGTGTACAAGCGCCCCCCCCCTCAGCTCTCTCTCCACCTCTCCTCCACCCATCTCCTCTCCCTCAACCCACGGCCTGTACTGCAAGCTTGCGAACCTGAGGGGCGACAGCGAATACTGGGTCAAGTGAAATAGCAGCACTATTATTGTCCTCACTTTTGCTCCACTCGTTCACACGAGTTTCCGATTTCCACACGGGAGTAGGGGAGGGGGAGGGAAGGCTGTCGCCGGCGCCTCGTCAGCGAATCCTAATACGTTTATCATCGCAAATACCAACCCGTTATTATCTCACTGATGCACACTCAGCGAGTGACTCGAGCGGCGCGAGACGCGCGACCGTGTTCGCGTTTGTTTACAGTGTTGAGGGAATCGCGCTCTCCCCCCCCCCCCCCCCCCTCCCTTTCTCGCTCTCTCTCTCTCTCTCTTTCTCTCTCTCTCTCTCTCCCCCCCCCCCTCGCGCTAGTTTGTTGGAAATCGAGAAATGCTATTTACAGAAATGCTTCGACGAGCAGCTCGCGCAGAAGCCCACTGGACCGGGCCCTCCCCATGCCATCGGCAGCCTCGGTTAATTGGTTCAGCAAACTGGCCCCCGACCTCCTCCGCCCTGCGAGAAGGTCCACTGGTCAGATGCGACTGCTTGAGGCAGCTCGGGGCGGCGCGGACCACCCACGCCGATGAGGCCGTCGGCTGCTGGTGACAAGAGTGACCCGTTCACACGCAGTCAACTAACACTGTGAAAAATATCGCCGAAAATTTACAATTTTTTTTGTATTCTTGAATTATAATTTACTTGTAAATTTACGAGAGCACATTTTTTACTAGCCAGTGCATTTTAATTCGATATACGAACTGCATATATTTTTACGATTACAAATTGTATTTTACAACTTGCGTCAGGGGAAACTTTTCTGTGAACCTTTCTATTTTTCACAGTGTGCAGGCAAAGGCCGAAGCATTATATTGTGGCAAGACTTTGAGCCAGTCAAGTAAAACCATGAATTGTACTAGCGAAAAAACCCTTAACATATTTGCGGTGTTTTTTTTTGTTGTTGTTTTTTTGCAGGTGCCTTTACGCTTTTGAATGATGCACTTACTAAGGTCAAGTAACTCTGAGGCTCTCAGAACGACGGTGTTTTTTTTCTTCAGTGTGGTTTAGAAAGAAAACAACATGAGTACTGTTTTCGAAATCAGACGCGGCCGCGGCACTGGAGGGGGCGGTGGTGCCGGGGTAGCGGGTTGGAGCCCCCAGATGGTGCAGCAGGCCCGTATCGGCTCTGAACTTGGGCTGGCCGGGTTGGCGCGCTCCACTAGTTCTGTTCTTGGATGCTTTATGTTTACCAGACCTCGTGTGGCGCTGCGCGGTGGGCGGGCCCATGTCGGACAGGCCCTTAACGGACCGTCCAGGTCAGTGTTCGCTCCCGCCCTCCCTTCACCCTGTTTACCCAGAATAAGGAGCACCCGCTCCGCCCGTCCCCTCAGAGTCGCGAGAGGAAATAACGGCGACGTTCGCGAGTGACGTTTCGTTTCTTATGGCGAGGAAAAAGCGTACGTTTGTCAGAGAATAATTTAAAAACTGGGTTCAGTGGAAAACGTGGCTCATATGTTAGAAGTATAGCGATGTTATTACTCCTGACTAAAAAGGAATATGTCTTCGACAATGTCAGACTGTAATCGTACAAAGGGTCTCACACGCTTAGTTGTAGGGCGACATGGTCTTGCAGTTACAACTGTCTAACACACTAAACTCTTCTGCAAATTTCCAGCATGCATGCATGAAACTGTGCATAACCTTATGGCTGTTTATCATACTGCACGTTTATACTCAACAGTTTGATAATGGTTCAGTGTTGACAGGCACGATTGGTGTGATTCGATTCGCTGGAATACCAACACAAGAGACGAGAGAAACCACCGCGGGCCAAACACTGTTTATCAGAATTTCGTCGAGCGTCAATACCAGAAAAGCAGAGGCAAAGAGCAGTCTATGAGAGCGGTATGTGAAGCAGCGCACACGCTAAACCCTTGTGCGTTTTCTAGTGCATAAACATACAGAATTTCTTACAGCCATAAGTTTGCACAAATTTAATGCAATTGAGCACAAACTGTGCATAATTATGCACAAACTGTAAATAGATATGCATAAAATTGTGCGTAGTATTTTGGCTGTATAAAATTCTGCATGTTTAAGCACAACACACTGAATAAGGATTTAGTCCTACAGCTGCTAAAAAAAGCCTACAAAGCATTTCGAAGAGAACGTCAGCATTGTAATACACCCAGAAAAGTCCTTTCATGATTCAAGTACATTTGAAAACGGGTTTGCACACTGTTAAATTCCTACAAAGCATTCGCTTTGCAGAGCTGCGAAGTATTTTGCTCCTTTGTAACTACGAAGCATTTACTTTGCAATTACAAAGTGATGCTTTGCAATTGCGAAGCAATGAAAACGCCGCAAAGCATCGCTTTGCAATTGCAAAGTGTAACTTCGTAATTGCAAAGCATCACTTTGTAATTGCGAAGTTGAATGCTTCGTAGTTACAAAGGAGCAAAATACTTTGCAGGAATTTAACAGTGCAATACAGCAAGGTTTCTCTTGAAACACTGCAAAAATACCTTCTAATTTGATTAATATTTTTGCATAAGTCCGAGTGAAAAATTGTACATATGCATACCCAAGTGAGTACAAATATACTTGACCCAAGAAAGGATTTTTCAGGGCGAACAAAGCGAACATGCCTTTATTAAGGATCACCTTGTTATTTACAAAGCTTTGTTCAGCTTTGCATCGTAGGCTACGATGTTCTGGTTTTCTTTGTAGGTTGCGAAGCAATGCTTTATAGACTTTCAGCAGTGCTTCTGGCCCCCTTTCCCCCCTACTCTCTCTTATCGCGGGCTTCGCCGCCGCGCCTCGCCGCTCATTTGGCGCGCGAAAAACGGGGCATGGCAGCAGTGTGTGCAGGCGGTGGCGGACCTTGCTGCTGGCCGCGGGGCTGAGCGAGGCCGGCTGCTGGCCATCACTCGGACCTCGTCAGACACGGCGCGCAGTAACCGTTACGGCTTCATTACAGTCACCAGCACTAACTGCTCTTCCCCTTCATCCCCCCCCCCCCTCCAACTCATTTCCCTCTGGAGCCCGCCAGACCGCCATTTCCACCCCTGTCCGCGCAAACAAAACAGTAAACAGAGCTGGCAGCCTGCCGGCCCACAAGGAGGCGCCGGCCGCGCGGCCGTGCGGGGGCCGGGGATGGGATCCCACGCGGACAAGCGGGGCTGAGGGGTACCGACAACACACGGCCGTCCCCCCCTGGGCCCCTGCGAGGAGGCGGGTAGGCAAGCCCGGCGCGCAGCCAGGCGCCGCCGGTCAGCCTACCCCGCGCGGCGCTAGGAGGCTGGCTGGGCGACCGAGGGCAGAGCATGCGCAACGCACGCAGATCGACGACCAGAGAGGGGAGCGAGGTAGAAAGCTGGCTACTACGGTGAAAATTACCACAGTGAACGGTTGGTCGAGTGCCGATATATGAGACGACACGCGCACACGCAGGCTCGACGCCACGTCAAGGGAGAAATGTTCGCACTGCGGTGTGCCGTTGCGCGTTCTTACCTGATCCATGCGTTCATTCAGAAAACGACGCGGACGCAGCACGGCAGCGGCGCAGCTCTGCAACAGAAAGAGGAAAATCCGACTGTCAGTGGTGGCGCGGTGGCATTCTGGAAATGGAATGTATACAGACCAATGTGAACGATTTGCAAGCAAGGCAGGCACATAATCTTTCAAAACAGCCACGTTCGCAGACTGAAGCCGAGATCGCGAACCCCACCAAGTCATGCACAGACTTTCATTTGGGCGTGGGCGCTCAGTATTGCTGATCGCTAGGAACGCGCTAGATCATCCGGAGCGTACCGCTTCGCAGTGCGAGGGAGTCCGTCCTCGTCCTCGCGCGAACTAGGTGGCGAGAGAAGGCGGCGCTGAAGCAGCCGCTGCAGCAGGCGATAACCACGTCACTTGCGCCCGTAATAAGGCCATACCTTGCACGCTTGAGGGGCGTGGCGGGGCGTGGCGGGGCCTGGCGGGGC